TCCTTCCTTCCTTCCTTCCTTCCTTCCTTCCTTCCTTCCCTCCTCCCTCCCTTCTTTCCTCCCTCCCTCCCTCAGCCATCCATCCTTCCCAGGTGGGTAAAATGAGAGCCCAGATTGTTGGGGACAAGAGGCTGACTCTGTATTCCACTTAGAGAGGGTTGCAAAAGCACTATGAAGCGGTATATAAGTCTAAGTGCTATTGCTACTGCATACAGAAAATTATTACTTCTTAAAATGCAATTTTCTACATTCATTTCTTTTCACAAAGAAGTGGTTGATCACAGGCGTTCTAGATGATCATGCACTGGCCCCGCCAGAGATGGTATTCAGCAGGTTCTGACCAGTTCTGGAGAACCGATAGCAGAAATTTTGAGTAGTTCGGAGAACCGGTAAATACCACCTCTGACTGGCCCTGCCCCCATCTATTCTCTGCCTCCCAAGTCCCAGATGATCGGGAGGAAATGGGAATTTTGCAGTAACCTTCCCCTGCCATGCCCACCAAGCCATGCTCACAGAACCGGTAATAAACAATTTTGAATCCCACCACTGGTTATAACATTTATTAGCTAGGATAGTAGTAATATAATATCTGCTAATTGGTGATTTCCAGTTTCTTTTATTTCCCCTTATAATTCCTTTTTTGACAATATTTTACTAACAAAATTAATCTGTTTTTTTTTTGTCTACAGCCTTTATATGATACTGCGTATCTTACTCTGTATAATATCAGCTTTACTTCACTTCCTATTTTGTTATATAGTTTAATGGAACAACATGTGAGTTCTGAGACACTCAAGAGAAACCCTATACTATACAGGTATATGCTCATTGTTTGAACAGGCAGATGAGGCCAGTTACTTCATATTGTATTTCTGAGGGATAGGCAAGCCTTGAGTGTTGGAGCAAGGGATGTTTATGTCAGTCAAATTTATTGTGTGCATATGTTAAATATTCCAAGAAGGAAAACAACACAGGAACTTTGTTTAGGATTTATTAATCAGCACACAAAGCTAAAAATTACAGCCCATGTACCCAGTAATAATTATTGTTTATAATTGAAAAACAATTGAGTTCAAATTTGCTTAAACACAAAGCATAGTTTTAGTCTAAGCATTGTCACAATTTCTCAGCTAAACTCTGTTATATAGGATTTATCAATGGAATCACTGATGAATAAATAATTTCAGTAATATATGGTAATTAATATTTACAAAAATCACTTGGGAACAAATATCCAAGGATGCATGGGGTATATAATCTACATCTACTTTAAAAAAAAAACCTCACTGAAATGAAACAGTGTTCTGGGGACCTCTAGTGTTGTTTTTTATTACTTGTATGCATGCTTTTGAGTAATTTTGATTTCTGGAGACGGCTTGGACTGGTCCTTGAAGTTTTCTTGGCAAGATTTTGAAAATGGTTTGTTAGTGCTTTATAGGGCAGTTCACTAGCTTTATGCCTAAGGCAGGACTTGAACTCACAGTCTCCACCTAGTATCTCAACTAAATGGGGAGTCTTCTTATATGAAAGAATTTAAGACAACCTTGTTCATCTTGGTGCCCTGCAGTTAGAGTGGTTTTCAATTCCCTTGATTCTCTCTAGAAGGGAATTATAACAGTTGAAGTGAAACACTTCTAGTGAAAATCCTGGTTTAAGGCTCAGCAAGAAGAGATAGAGAGACTGAAATATCAGCATAGAAATCAGAGCTGGGATTAACTTACCTTCCCTACCAGTCCGCAAATGTGAGCGCACGTGTCTCATCTGCACGTGCACAGTGCTCACGCATTACGTTGGGGTGGGTGGAGCCTCCTGCAGCCTCCGCTACTGGTTGTCCGAACTGGAGGGAACCAGCTGAATACCACCTCTGATAGAAATACATGCTGCCTGGGGAATTTCTGGGAAGTGAAGTCACATAACTTAAAACTAAGTTAAAAAACCTCTGGTCTTCATAAAGTCCATAGAAACATTACGGCATTTCTTTTTATAATAAAAACATTTCTTTTTCTTTATTTCAAATGCTTAAAAAAATGAGTAACGTGTGTTATTATTCAGGGATGTTGCCAAGAATGCTCACCTACGATGGCGTACATTCATTTACTGGACATTCTTGGGAGTTTTTGATGCTGTCGTCTTTTTCTTTGGTGCCTATTTCTTGTTTGACAATTCAACTATGACCAGCAATGGGCAGGTTTGTATCTAAAGTTTTGGAAGCTGTTTTAGAGGAAATAATTAGTTTCTCTTTGGGTACATTTATGCTGGCATGTATACTCTAAAGATTCAGGAATGTCTACAGATTGAATGAAGTATTCTAGGGGGGGGGGATGAACCCCAGGAAGCTAAATACGTTTAAATGTAATTCTAAGTTTCCTAATTCTGCTCCAGTTATTACAATAGGCAATTTTTAAAGTGGGAAGCTGGTAGGGGTGTTAACCTTTGAACTTATGTTGAGTTCAGAGTACAATTTACCTTAAAGCCTTGGGACTATATTTCCTGTAGATTATTTTACTCTGATATATCCTTCCTCTTTAGAGGTTCAGCTTCAAGCGTACTCAGATCAGACCTATTTATCCAGAAAATCATTATAATTCACAGTATTTCCATCATGGCCAGAGTGGCATGGTCCAAAAGAAAAGAGAATATTCCAAAATTCTCTGGAACATTTGATTCTCAGAACAGTAGGCTTTGTACTTTCCTGTTTAGCTCCATAAAGCCCCTGGCAAATGAAACAAAGCAGGTGGCTTCTAGACAGAAATGATGATGATTGAAATAAGGCTCCATCAGTTGATTATATTTGTAAAGAAAATTACCCAGAATTCTATCAAATCCTAAACTGAATTTTAGGTATGGAACCAACAAAAAGCTGTCACCTTCTAGTTTTGTCCCTTTGAAGAGAGGAACGAATTCTCTTCATTCACATATACACAGAAAGCCAGGAATCAGATTATCAGTATATGTAATCTTCATTTTTTTAATTATTTAAAGCTAACTCGTCTGTGGGAAAACTAAACATGTTGATTTATATTTTTAAAAGTATCTTAATAGAGAACTTAGTTAATGGCTAATTTCTATTAAGGGCTAGTAATATTTTTTTAACCAAACAAATTATAGGAGTTAATTGGGGTACAAGTCACTTGAAACATTTATTCAGTGATATATACAATTTTAGTTAAGCTATTTTCAATATGTGAAAATATTCCACTTTAAAAATAGATATCATATAATTAAGTAGCTTAATTAATTTGAAAAGAACAAAGGATTTCCATTTAAATAAAATTATATTTGTACTTTTTGTTAAGTACATAATTTAAAATATATTTTAAAGTCCTTCTGCTTTTATTTGCACATTAACATTTTGCAGTTTGTTTTATTTGTGTCTTGCTTTTTTCTTTTCTTCCTCCTTTCCTCTTTCTGTCTTCAGCTAATGACAGTCAACACTCACATGGTAAGACTGCTGTGGTTTTGTCATGTTGTGTGTTTTTCTCTATTGCAATTCAGATATTCCTAGAAAAAAAATCATATTTCCCCCTTTTTTGCCTCCTATATGCTGTGCCAAAATAATAAAAAAGTTAATTTACTTTTTAAAAACAAAGAATTGTATGGAATTTGGAAAAAAAATCTTGCTTCTTTTTGTTTATTTCTGCTCAGCTAATTTTCATGTTGGTATAATTTAATTACATTAGAATATACACACACATACACATATAAATGTGGCTGATTTTCAATTAAGTTAGAGAGTTAGGAAAATAAGGTAGGTAGTTGGGGGGGAATAAACAATTAGTAAAACCACAAGAAACATAAAGTAATAGTGTAGATCATTGATACAGATAAATTAAAACAACTCACAAACTTAAACCATCTACCAGCAACTTTTGATGCTTTAAATATATATTTAAACCACGCTTTATCAGGACTTCTGTTCCAAAGATTATGATCTGTTCTATCATACTTGCTGCATTAACCTGCTCTAATGCTAAAGATCATACTCCAAGGCTATTCTCTACCGTTCCACATTTTCAGGAGTTATAGACAGTTTCTGGAGAAAAAGAATCTTTACATGCAGTCTCACCTGCCAATTTTTTTCCCCCATGGAGCAAAAATACAAATCTTGTATCTTTTACCATAAGCTGGCTTTCTATTTAAGTTAAGCATTTTCTAAATGTTTGTTGGAGATGTGTTTAATTTTAGACCTGCTAGCTTCTTGTAGGAAAATATGACTTTATATGTTGGCTGTGTAATATATATTTTTTTAATTTGAAAGGTAGTTGTATGCCTGTGAGATGCAATAAAAAAAAGTCCAGATAATTTCCACATTGTCTTTGTTCACTATCAGAGTTTCACTGGTTACATGGGTAACCATGTAAATTTATTTAATAGATAGATAGTTTCATTCGATATTAAAGCTTTTGAACATTCTGGACTGGCTCAACAATAATTAAGTATGTTTCCCCCTGTGTACATAATTTGTTGTGCTCTTATTACCATAGCTATTTGGAGTTACAGTTGCATCAGAATTCTCATGATACAACTTCTCATGAGAAAGGCTTGCTTGCTTGCTTATTATCTGTTTGTCTGTCTGTCTGTCTGTTTCCAAGCCACCTACTCCCACAGTTCTCTGGGTGCTGAGCCATAGAGCAAAAACAATAAAATAAAACTAATGAAACATTGACATGGGCCAGGACATAGTGGAATAAGATTGTACCTGCTTGTGAAAAGCCAGGGTGGCTACTGCCTAGAACTGGTGGGGCTAGGGGGTAGTTATATAAGGTACAGGGCATTACTGAGAAATTCTGTTGATAGGCCCATGTCCCATGTCCTCTAGAAAAATGGGGGGCTGCCAAAATGGCACCGCACAATGATGAACCAGGTAGCTAGATTTGATTCTACAAGTTGTTGTCTGATAAATGTGCTAATGTAAAGTTTTTAAGGATATAACTACCAGCACTTTGAATTTGGTCTAGAAGCCAGGTTTTATGCTGATGGTGTATATTGATAGTTTATGCCAACAAGGTAGTTGCTGCATTGTGTACCAGCTGAAACTTCCAGGTCATCTCCTAAAGCAGCGACATGAAGATTACATTGCAGTAGTCCATCCAACTAACTGTATGAGTCATTGTGACTAAATCATCCTGGTTCAACGAGAATCATAATTGTTCCAAAGGTGCTTTCCAAAGGCAACTGGACCTTCTTTGTTGTTTACCATGAAATTTTTGCTTCTGAAGAAACTTCCTGGATGGGAAGTGAAATGTTTTCAAGGAAAAAAACGAAGAAAGTCTAGTTGCCTTTTTGAAAGGACCTTTGGAACAATAGTGACCTGGATTGACCGAGAATCTCCATAGACATTTAGGGTCCTTGGTGCTCTCTGAGCTTGCTTGTTTCGTTGCAGGCAAATTATCAGTGTTAGTAAGGAGTGCAGTTTGTTGCCAGTTTATATTATAGTGGCATGCCTGTCAGTGTTGGTTTTAGGCAGGGGTCTCCAACCTTGGCAACTTTAAGCCTGGAGGACTTCAATTCCCAGAATTCCCTAGCCAGCTTTGCTGGCTGGGGAATTCTGGGAATTGAAGTCTTCCAGGCTTAAAGTTACCAAGGTTGGAGACCTCTGGTCTTAGAGATTCTTTCATTAGGCTGTTTGCTGTTGGCTTCTTTGGCAGTTTCTTGATTGGGAAATTGTTTACTTGATTGCTGGTCTAATGTTAACTTTGCTGATTTGGGTGCTGATTGCTGGTGGAGAGGTGCTTAGGTCTTTTTGTTCCTTTTTGGGTTGGATGCATAGTCTACAGATATTGTTAATTTCTATTGATGGCTGATTTGTCAGAGTACCAGGCTGCCAGCCTCCCTGTAGAGGTTCACCAGTGAGTCATATGTCCATGGCAGGGAAGAAACCAAAATTTCCTCCAGATCCAGAATTTCTTTGACAGAAAAACTAGATTGGTTATATAACCACTACAATGAGTTGGCTTCTGGGTGACTTGGGCCAGACCCCTGGTGGCCATAAACTCCTGAGCTTTTTCTGATGGCAGGTTGAAATCCCCAGCAACATAAGTCCAGGGAACTCCACTGCCAGCCCAGCCATGGAATCAAGAAGCTCAGGCAGGAAGGTTGCTATACATGCAAGGAGATTGATACAACAGCAACAGCTGTTGCAACAGCTGCATCTGGCAATCTATGGAGCAAGACCCCTGAATGCCTCCCAAGCAGTGGTGGGATTCAAATAATTTAACAACCGGTTCTCTGCTCTAATGACTTCTTCCAATAATCAGTTTACCAAACTGCTCAGAAAGTTAACAACCGGTTCTCCCAAAGTGGTGCGAACTGGCTGAATCCCACTGCTCCCAAGTAGCCCGGCTGGTCACTGCCACTCCCCACAATGTTCCCTCTAAGCTGTGCGGGTGCGCAGCCACGCATGTGGCAACAAAACACAGCGCAGCAGTTTCCAACTGCTGCACAGTGATCTTTAGCATGATGGACTTTAGTCTGCAGGCGGCTAGGAGGCTTCTGTCAGCTGGGCCGGGAAATTATAGTTTCTGGACACACCCAGAGGAGGGTGGGTCTTTGGCCAACAGAAACGTGGCCGCATAGGGTTACGATTGGGCTCCTTCCGCCAGCGCGTGGCTGATTGACAGGGAGGCTGTTCCTTCCTGGATCAAAGTTACTGAGGGGGGCAGTGGCGACAGCAGCAGCAGCAACAGCCAACTCTCTGTGGGACGTGCAGAGCGTGCTTCCATCATGGTTTCTCTGCTAAGCCTTCCTTCCTTCCTCCCCCTCCCTCCTCTCCCCTCCTTATTTGTTTCTTTATGTGCCTCAATTGCTAATCTACATCAATTGGTAATTTATTCATAACTTGCTAATATCACTGCAGGCTATTGGATAATAAGGGGGAAAGGATAAAGCATATAAAGTAATTCATAGTATGGAAAATGTGGCTAGAGGAAAGTTTCGATCCTTTTCCCATAGAAAGTCATCCATTGAACTTGAATACAACTAGTCCTCAACTTACAACAGTTCACTTAATGACTGAAGTTACATCAGCACTGAAAAAGTGACTTACAGCTGTTCTTCACACTTATGATCATTGCAGCAATCCCATGGCCACATAACCAAAATTTGGATCTTTGGCAACTGCCTCATATTTATG